CCACAGGGCCTTGCTTTCTGTACTCAGCACTCTCTTTGAGACCTGTAACCTGAATACCTCACCCCCTAGACAGCAGAGTCTTATTTAAACACTATGACAAAGACTCCTAATGACTCACATCCCCCCTTGGAAAGATAAAAGAATAACTAACCGGCCCATCTTGTACTCTTCCTGTTTGTACCCTAGGTATTTCACCAGCACAGCCACGCCGTCATGGGGCCGCCCATCCCACATGGGCCACGTTTCTGGACAGAGAGATTTGTATCTAGAAGCGAACAGGAGAAGACACCTTAGAAAATAAGAAGTCCAGAGTTTCAGCATAGTACAAAAGGAGGGTTCAAGCACCAGTCCTTCCAACAAAGAGCAAACAAGGCTTTCAAGTTAAACAGGGTATACATTTTGCAATATACAAACGCCTGTTCTCAGCATAGACACAGCGAGGGGAAAATAGGTCTGTGGCAGTTATGGTAAAGCTTACCTCTGCAGGAAAACTTCATATTTCCGGCGATATGCAAACCCAGCCCTGCGCACTCTCAGATTCTCCATCAGTCCCAAGTATTTCACTTGGTGTCGGATTAGCACTTCAACAAACTGACCTGAGAGCATAAAATTGAAGGAAGACTATCAAACTGTAACTGTCCTGCACTCTAGAAAAAACTATCAACCCTTAGTGGTCCCTGTGCAGATGCATATACTCACTAAGGAACTCTGGTACAGTGCCAACTGGGATGGCTAATGGGAATGAGGACAGAGCAGGGGAAATTAGCCCATCTAAGTTGGAAGCAAAATTCAAAGAGCTTAATGCCGGGGGGACCGGGATAATTTCCATCCCAGAATTCTGAAAGGACGTGAAACTGGAAGTCTAATAGCAAGGATTTAAATGTCGGTTAAGTCCAGGCTGTGACCATAACAGGGAGCAGGGGCTCATGCCACTTTAAGAAGAAAAGAGCAGAAGGGCAAGACCTGTGCAGGCAGGGGAGCAAAGCCAGCTGCTAGAAAATAAGCAATCCAGAGACAGCAAGGATAGGAACTACCAGACGGAGTGGCTATCCTGGAGCTAGCTGCACTGCAACAGGCAACGAGACAGAGACAGAGCTCAGGGGAAGAGACATAAGCCCAACTGCAGGACCAGAGAATTAAGTCTGGCCCTGACCTCTGGGAGAGAGGAGCTCCTGACAGCACAGACTGCTATAATGGAAGCTAAAGATCCAAGAAGGTACCCTGAAGGGTGAAGACAGCTGACTGGGGTAGGGTTTGACAGTGACGTAGGGACCCAAGGTAGAGTCTTAAACTTTAAGTTAGAGACCAACTGGTTCGGGGTTTGTTTTATTTGGCTAAGGGTTTGGGTTGGGGGGCGGGAGGCTGGAAGGCACGCCATGCCGTAAGGGGCTGAGGCCAAGACAGAGCCCTGCAGGGATCTGGCACCCAGTGAAATGCATGGGCTAAAGCCAGGTGATTCATTGGCTCAAGGCTGAGGCTCTGCAGGCTTGGGGACCTGGGGGTACGAAGGCCACAACCGGTGCCCATAAGGCAAGCTCAGTGCTAGCAGAGAGCAAAATAGTCCTTATTAGTAGGCTGAGGGCCCAGTGATGAGGACTGAGGTATGGCTAAGTAAGGTAGTTGGACTAAGGGCAGCACCACCAGGATCACTCCAGGGCTCTGGGGCAGCCTCCCAGCTTCATGTAGCATTTACATCAAGGCGTGGCACGAGAAACAGCAGTGGGGCAGGATCCGTGTGGCCACCGGGAGGCATTATGGCCACCTGCAGGGCCAGTCCTCTCACAGTGACCATTTGACTGGAGAACAGCAAATGAAGAACTTGTATTTAACGAGAAGGAAAAAAAACAAGCAGGCAAGTGCAGACCTGTTACTCTCATCTCAATCCTATGCAAGGCTTTGGACTGTAGAGATGACAAGGGACAACTGGATAATCTAATTTCTTGTACAACACAGGACACATGCACACAAAATCCTTTTGGAGTCTCACCAGACAGAAACTAGGTAAAAAAATCAGAACTGTAAAACGCTAAGCACTGCTGATCATTATCTCACTACATCTGCAGGGCTGAACAAGAGTAAGATGCAGGAGAGGATGTATATTCAGGGACCCGGGCTTCCTGGCTGCCGTGAAAAAAAACAACAGATTTTCTCTTTTAAAGGAGAAAAGTGTGGATTTTCTCGTCTGAAGGAGTAAAACGCAAGAAACTAAGGGTTTCCCCTTGAAGGCTGACATGGTTCCAGTCTGCAAGGGGTTGCCACGTACATGTGTGCACACAGTGTGGTGGTGAGCAGCTCCCTCCAGGCAAGTCTATGGGGGTGTGGGGCACAGGTGATGGGGCAGGGAGGTGGCAGGGGGGCACAGGCAACGCAGCAGGGGGTGGAAGAGAATGTGCTCCCCCCATATTTCTGTGCCCGCACTGGGTGCAGAAATGGGGGGCGGGGAGGGGGGGCACATTTCCCCCTTCCCACCATGTTGCCTATGCTCCCCTGGCTACACATCACCTGTGCCCACACCCCACCTTCCCCCAAACACCCACTCCATTCCCCACAAGCTGGTGGACTGGGGGTGGGGGGCAGCGGGTCGGGAGTGAGGGGCACCAGCATAGGCAAGGCACTGGTATATCGGGGCTGCTCAGTGCCTCAAAGCATCAGGAGCAACAGCTGCAGCTGGACCCATGCCCTAGTGAGCGAATGGTCAGAGGGGAGCTCTGATTTTACATGGTAAAAAGACCCAAATCAAATGCCAAAATTTACAGGTATTTAGAATGTATTCAATTCTAATGATTGGGGCACCAGTAGGCTTCCGATCTGCTTTAAAACCGTAAATATAACGGTAAAACACTGTGTTCCACTGATACTTACCACTATATATATATATATATAGTGGTGTTTCATTTTAATCACGGAAAAACATGAAATTTGGGGGTTTTTTTAATCAGAAAAATTGGGATTTCAGAGAATTTGGGATTTTGAAACACAGAAACTAGGATCCCTTTTATCAACATGTCATCCACAAAAGACATAAAGTTACCTTACACTGAAATGTTTCACTTTATGTAACCAGAATTTGAACCATCTCTATTTTTGACTCCTGTCACCAAGTTACAACTTTTGGAATAAATCCCCCACTACATCTATAATGGGGAAGTGCCTGGAAAACAGGCAGGGCCAGGAAGTGCCAAACCTTACCCGCTTGTTTAGAATCATTAGGTTTGATGCAGCGAATGTAAGATGGCTCCTTGGACATCAGAATTTCCATTAGTTTCGACAGGCTGTTCTTAAACTGAGTTGCCGCCTAGGTGGGAGAAGAACAGAAGACTGATGTATGAAGTTACCATTTAGGGCTAGTACTGTTGACGTTGCACCAGACACACGTGGCTAAGAACCTGTCTCCCAATTTTAAATGTAAGAGGTCATTTTTAGAAGACTGCCGCAGGCAGAAGGCACGTGTGGGGACTTCTCCAATTCCAACGGTTATTCTTACCGTTTCAGGTCTCTTTTTGTCTGTCAGCTCCGTCCTCTCAAAACACTGGTTCACAATGGGATTCTCAGAGTTGCACATGGTCTAGAAAGAAAAAGGAGAGGACATTTTTAAACCTAAACTGGACAAGGTACAAAAGTCTGTATTTTACAGAATAGGCAACTACATGGGAGTTGAGTACAGAAAAAACAGAGCAGATTTCATCAAAGATAAATGCCAGTAATAACACACACTTTGAGCACCTCAGGTTCTGAGACACAACAGGCCTATGGACCGCACATCCTGAAGATGAACAGATCTAACAGAAATATCAAACCACTAGAGCCATTTCAATTCTGCTCTTGACGGACAACAGAACAAGCGATGCTCAGTCCATCCTCACCTCCTTCAGGTTCCGAAACAGAAGGTCATTGTTTTTATCCAGAAATCCTAGAAAGACAAAAAAAAAAAAATCAAAATAATGCAAGATGTGGAAGTAAGAAATTACTGAAATTACATAGTTACCTATTAGCTGACTGTTAATTTTTGAGTCAGCAATTCTGCATGAACTTGGAAGAAGGGCAAGGAGTAGGGGGTCGGAGCAGGTGAAAATATATAATAAGGGGCCTTGGTGCGATTGGTTGCATCATATTTACCTGAGACACTGTAGGTGACCTCGCCCGCGTAGTGCAAGAGACGAAATTCTTCACGGCCTAGCGACTTGCGAGTCTTCTGGTCAGCCAGCTTGTGTCTGTGGAGGAAGAAGTCAAGGCTTTGCAAAGAGACACTATTAGCCTTGGGGAGGGCTCATCCTTGAGTACTACTGATATCACCCTGAAAACACCCTGATCATGGGATTGGAACAGAGGACGAGAAGCTGACATTTTACTCATCTTTAAAGGATAACAATAAAAAGCAACAAGTCTCAGAAATCTACACAGATGTGTTCCAGAAACAAGCAGCCAGCTCCCAAGGCAAGGCAGCAGTACTCTGTGTGCATCTAAAACTACAAACGGAGCCAGAAAGCACCAAAGGATTCTGACACTGAAACACAGAGAGATCAGAGACCTCAGGCTGGGAGGGAATAATGGGGGCACCACTACCATTCAGCCCTTGAGCTAAACAATCACAATACTTGAACACGAGTGGAAGAAAACCTAGTTTTCATTGAAGGTACAGTTTGTAAATGACCACTATAAGAATGGCAGGAGCCATCTGAAGGATAAAGTTAAGCAACTTAAAATTATGACATTAGCGTGGCAGTTATGAGCAGAGTGTCAAAAGGGATGCATCTTTCAGGACACCAGCCAGGTGGCAGAGAGATACCGTGGTGGATACGAAAGGATAGGACACATCAATTCCAATTCCATAACAATTCCAACATCGTTTAAGCTGCTCTAAAATTCACAGATTTCTGACCATCTATAAAGGCAAAATCCCAGTCCCTGCTCTGTTTATTTTTGGCTGATTTTCCTGTTGCAGCTCAGATTTGTGTAGATGTGTATGCTCTCTTGACCATGTGCTTTGACTTCATTCAGTGACTGTATTAACTCAATCCTTCAGTGATAGTAAAAATGTATTTTAAAACTCTCATGTTCCTTGTTATCCGAGGACCCTCACTAACAATAATCTTTGGATTCTCACTTCTCTTGGACCTACACTGCAGACCTTCCCTTGTACAAGATGATTCTCTTCTCTCAAAACATGTTATAGTTACTTTTATTATCCCTGCGCACAAGTTTAGATAACAATCTTAATTTCAAGATTGCCCAAACTTTGGAGATCACATAAGGGAAGCAAACAAAAGAGTTTAGCAGAAACACTGTTTTTCCTTGATGTGATTGTACTCACTTTAGACAGCCTTTTCCCACACAAGGCAACCTAATCATCATATCCAAAAACCTGAAGGAACAGTGACCCCAGACTGAATCTGCTATGCAATAAAAGCAAGCAGAAGAGTCAATCGGAGGACATATTTCAGACAAGGGATCAGACAGGGCCTCTGAGAAAGAGGATTGTCTCCCTAATCTAAACAATTTAGTGAGGATAAGGAATATAGTCACCTATAAACCTATAATGGGATCCACCTCAGCCACAGGTGTGCCTGTCTTATGGCAATGTCTTCCCTCAGCTGAAATGAAGCTTTAGGAACAAACTTCAGAGGATGAACTGATCAACTGGACTGAATGTATTAATGGCCTCAGAGCAGTGCTTGGGAAAGGGCACAAAATGACCTTTTTCTGGGGATACGAATGGGATGTCCATCAATTCAACTAGAATTAAACTGAAGCCCTAACAGGGCAGATGCTCTTTGACTAGGAGGAAGACATGATCAAGACCTTTCAGAAACTATAACACTATAGGGGATCAAAATATGGGGTAGCTTTGGACTACAGATGAGGTGTGAAACAAATTACTGCTAGATGCACTCTGAGCTGACAGGGTGCCTAAGCAAAGCTGGTGGAACAAAGTTTTGGAACTGTGTTTTATATGAATATAAATGAATTTCAGCAGTATAGTTGCTAAAAAGGTCAGCTTCTTCCACAGGGAGGCCTTGTGCGATCAAGTAGACCTTCCAAGGAATCTGAGATGCCTGTAGCCATGCCGAGTATCTCCTGGCAGTAGCCATATCAGGTGCATCAAGCAGAGCCAGAGGGAAGTTTTAGCAGTAAATTAACCTTCATCCATAAAACAAACTTCTTGGTATGCTCTTGAGGTTGCTTAGCTAGGAGATTTGTGGGCCTGTCCTAAAGAGGCAACTGCATCGGTCAAGCAAGACAATTGTATTTGAAGAGCGTTGGTAGATGACACTTTTAAACCAAATGGCTCAGTGTCTTGGGATTCTACTCATGAAGATCTTAGATGAGAACCTATTGTTTTCAACACGCAGGCTTACTGGTTATACAAGCAAACTCTTGAGAGAGAAAAGGCTTTTTTGTGAAATCTTTTATTGGACCAACTGTCAGCCTAACCGAAACAATGTAGTGAGAAGAAGGAATAATGGTCACCTATAGGTGGCCTTTTTTTTCTCCTCCCACACCTCCTAATAAGACAGACTCAGTCTAAATTGAGACTGCAGTAGTTCTGAAACCACATACTCTCATAAAAACTTACCACCATCATCATCTTCCCCCCTGCCAACTTTGCATGTGTTTGCTTCTTTGTTATACCCATCTACATCTCACTTTTTGGGGTGGGGAAAAAAATCTTAGGCTTTTATTCAAAGTGCAGGACCACTGGAGCTTCAATCTTACTAGGATGCCTGGGTGCTACTATAATATGCATAAGTAAGTAGTGGTACAGCAGTACCTGAGTAATGAAAACCCTCAAGCTCTATTCCATGCTTGGTTACTCCTCACAGAACTGGAAACAACTAGATAAGCACTCACGTAAGAAAATGGGGGTGATTCTTCACTGTTTCCTCCAGCTTCTCCAAAAACGTCATATCAGTGGCATCGCCAGGTCTCAAACATTCTTCATCCTATAGAGAAAGAATTGGCAACTACAGTCAATTTGTAGAAGCATATATATTCTAGCGCAGATTTCATTCCATGTGTGTCAGCATACAAGCCAGAACCACACCATCTCACTGAAATGGCACACCCAGTTTGTACCAGCGAACACTGCCTGGACCCATAACTCTTTCCTGCCAGCAGATGAAAGCAGCACCTCTTCACGTACAAAACGGCTTACCTGCTCCCAGAGCTCAGGTGAATTTTGGAGATCAGCATAATGAAAAATCTTGCTATAACCTGGTATTAGCTGACTAACCTATGTACACAAGGGGCACGTCTACACGAGACATTTACTGCAAGGTAGACTAATTAGCTGTACAGTAAATGTCTCTGCCTACAAGTGCACCTCTACTAAGCTGGAGTAAATTAATTTACTCTGCAGCAGGATAGTGCTTTTTTCATAGATTTCATAGACATCAGGGCTGGAAGGGACCTCGGAAGATCATCGAGTCCAGCCCCCCGCCCAAAGGGCAGGAAGTCAGCTGGGGTCATAGGATCCCAGCAAGATAAGCATCCAGTTTCATCTTGAAGGTGTTCAATGAAGGCGCTTGAACCACCTCCGGTGGCAGGCTGTTCCAGACCTTGGGGGCTCGGTCTGGAACAATTGTAAATTGTATTTACAATTGTAAATTGTATTTACAATTACGATCCTGCTGTGGAATAAAACACTCAGCATCAGCGCACACGTAGATACTGCCCTGGCTGGCTGGGGCTCAAAGGCTGCCTGCCGGCTAGCCCTGCATTGAAGCACCCTTGTGCCCCAGCCAGCCCCTCTGCACCACGTTTTGCTGGGAGGGGGGAAACAGCTCTGGACTGGCAGACTGACCCCATGGTGCCCCTGGCGAGCCGGGGCTGCTCTGACCCAGCTCAACATGCTGCGATCCATGGTGCAGTAAGCTCTGGAGTTTATTCATGCACATTAATATACACATGTAGACGTGGTACTAAAAATGGAAGTCATATAGATCAATTTTATTAGTAAAGAAATAAAATCCAAGCTCTTGATTTTTGGTGAGGATGAAAGGAGACTGGCCAGGATGGGGGTGGGAAGCCCAGCAACAAAGTTGAGCTCCTGTAACAGGACAAAGAGCTGTTTTTGCCACTCCTGGGGCATGTATTAAAGGTTTGGAAGCTGTCTTGCCTGGGATTTGCCCTTCTTGTGATCCCAGCCACAGAGCCCTGTGGCAATATTAATTCTGCAAAGTGAGGACTGGGGTAGGGAGAGATTTTAAATCTTAAAATAAAATACAAGTAATTTCTTTCAGGCTACAGGCTCTCTAATGAAACAGATTCTCTGAAGGATATTCTTAGATTGTTTTAAAGACAGGCAGAAAAAGTTAGAGTAGATTCAGACAGACATTTATTTCTTGAAATAGTCTGCTCCTTCCATGCCCCTGAATATGGCTGAGAAGATATAGATTAGTAGATCGTGGCAAACATGCCTCAAAAATGTCCTAAGAAAAATATGTTAAGAATGTTTTATTTAAAAAAAAAATTAAAAGCTTCTAATATATTCAGTGTACTGCACGGAAGGAGAGAGGGCACAAGATGGTTTGAGAGGCCAGCAAATGCAAAAACAGGTAAGAAACAAGGTTAAGCTACATGTCTATGTAACACATGGCTCACTCCTAACTCTGGGCTCAATTCATCTCCCACTTCATCTCTTTCCAGGATGCCCTCCCCCGACCTTCCACCAGTACTTTACACCTATGGCTTTCACTTCCCATTGTGATTCTAAACATTTTCAATAAAAAATGGTTTTGCCAACTCACCAAAATAGAAATGATGCCTTTGAATTTCTCCTCCACCAGATCACAAATGATTTTGTTGTCAAAATACTGGACAGGTTCCCACTGCCATTCACAGAGATATAAGAAATCACAGAGTGAATGAAACTGAATCGCTGCGTTGGAAGAAAACTGTATGAATGCTCCATGCACTTTGGTAGATAGCTATTCAAACCAGTTTGCCTGAGGTCCACATTTCAAGTGCAAGACTCATATTCATGTGTAACCATTTATCATTCTAAACCTTTCAGACCATCTTTGTCCTGTTACAAATAAAGGACAGGGGAAGGCTGCATAATCGAGTCCCTAATCCTGAAATATAAAGGACAGGGGAAGGCTGCATAATCGAGTGCTTAATCCTGAAACCCCCCCAAAGCAGCCAGTGTCCAACTCTAGTGAAAGCAAACCACACAAGAACTTTGATTCAAACTGACGAGGCAGTTTCCCCCAAGGACATAGCATCTTAGATGAGAAATCCAGAACGGGAGGCCAGGGACAAGAACAAGGTTATAAGTTATCCCGAAGACCCTGGTACAGAGCTGAGTTATCGCTCTGGTACTACATTTGCCACGTAAGATTTCAGTTGCATAAACCAAAGCCTCGGTCCAGAGCAAGACTTCAGCACAGCATCATAGTCCCTAATTCACAGCTGGTGGTCTCCCTAACCTTAGTGTCAGCTTTCACAGTAGCTGCCACTTGGAAGGTAGTTTCCACATTTTTTAACTGTATGATTGAAGAGAAAGAACATCTTCAGAGCTGGGAATGAATGGTATCCACATACCATTTGGCTGGTAGTTGCTAGCACCATGCATCTCTTGGAAATAATTAAGAGACAGTTCTGCTACAGAAGTTTCTGTTATTTCTTAATTATATACGACTGCAGAGCTCTCAAGAACTGTAGCCAGCCGTCACTGTGTCAGCTCAACAACTCAGGCTTGCAAGACTGAAATGGAACTTGGTATTTTCAGAACCAAGATTTCAAGCAAGAAAACAGAACAGAAGAGTTGGAGCTGTGTTCTCTGGCATCTCTAAGCCAATGAGGGTGGATGCCAGGGAGGGTAATGAACAAGGGATGGGTCACTCTAGATATACCCAGTTCAATGCTCCATTTATAGTTCCATTGGCATTTCACTGACATAAGCTCGAGCGTTCACCGCACTCAAAATACACGACTAAAAAGCCCTGTTTCTTCTTCCATGAGCCCCTGTTCAGTAGCTAACCTAATAATTGAAACCTAGGGAGCAACTTTTCCAAAAGGCGGTCTCGATCGGCACACGCAGTTTTTCCTGCAGATAGCTGTGCATGGAGGCAATGAATGGGCTTTGCATGTTTAAGTGTCATCACCTGGATGAGGAAGCAACTGCATGTGCCTACATAAAGCACAGTAAAGGACCATTTTATAGGAGCCTGTTGTGCTGGATCAAATGCTAACCACAACATGGAAGAAAAAGAAGTCTATTTCCAACTCCTTACTTTGCATGCTACGGTAATTAGCAGCTCCTCTTAGCTAGCTGGCTTCCCTCAAAAGAGATACTATCAAAAGATAAGAAAAATTGAAGTACTGCCTCTTACCGCTATGCCTTCTGACTCATATTCCTCTTGTTCCGACTTCAGTGTCAGTTCTATGAAAAGCTGCTGCAGTTTTTCATTACAATAATTAATACAGAACTGCTCAAAGCTAAAACAAAGAAAACACAGACTTAGTCACTCAAACACTGCATTTCAAGTAAAGTAAAGCCTGTATCGTTTATGGATGGTCTTCATAACCTATGTGAAAATAAAAAAAAAAGATGCAAACAAGCGATCTAGTAACTCATTTGAGCTAGACAGAGATAAACCAATGCATGAGCCTAAAGAGGAGAAAGAAAGGAGGCACCATCAATAAAATAGGATGGTGGCAGGCAATGCACTGAATAAAGGAATAAGAAATGTAAAATTAGGCTTCTTGCTCAGAAGACACTTGCTCTGTTATTGTATTTTCTCACATACAATACACCCTCAAATAAAACATGCACCTTGTTTTTAGAAGGCAAAATGGAGGGAAAAAGTTTTTTCCCCACTCCAAGTCATGGCGGAGCTGCCTTTTCAAGGACAGACCCTGATGCAGAATGGCTGCCAGCTTCTTTCCAAACCAGCAAGCAGGAAGGACGGAGCCCAGTGTTCAGCCTTTTGCACATGTTCTCACACTTGTTCATTTGACTGCTTCCATTCCAGCAGAGTAGAAATGAGTTCTGTTCCAGCAAAGAAAAATCAACTTTCTTGCTGAAGACATGCACCCCAATTTTGGAGGGCTAAATTTTAGGGAAAACGTGTGCGCGGTATGCAGATAAATATGGAATTATCAGGTATTTTGTCAACTTGCTGAAGTTGAGATTTATTCTTGTTTTGATGTGTCAAGTACCAGACAACGGGCAATGTGTTACATGTAGGTTTGGCAGGATGTGATTTTTATCGATAAACATCAATTTGACCTACCTCTCACAGACCAATGGAAAAATATTTACCCATCAAAATTTTTTAAAACAAAACAAAACAAAACAAAAACCCTGGGATGAGGTTAAGGAAATCTGGGGCATGGGTGCCACGCACGCGCGCGCACGTGCACGCACACACGGCACAGCTGCAGAGAGGTCGGGGGAGTCCCTGGCAGTGGCTTGGGCAGCTGCTGCATGAGCTGGGGACTGTGCTGGGATGGGGGGTTGGCAGGGCAGGGCTGTTGGTAGCTAAAAGCCCAGTGCCACCAGCCACTCGCACTGCCCGGGTCCCTACTGGGGATTGGCCCCAAACTCTGGGCAAGCCTGGGCTGGTCACTGCATGCTCAGGGCTCACTGGGAGTTCGGCCCCTACCCCAATCACACAGGGCTGGGCCGGGCCGGGCCGGGCAGGAGTTCTGGGAATACGGGGAGAGACGGTAGCCTCCCAGTCCAGAGCTCCTTGCTCTGGCTGGCCCCTTACGAGGCAAGCCTGCTTGGCAGGCACCAGTGGAGGGGTGGCCCAGCCCCTGGATGGCCACAGTCTCCCATCCCTCCAGGCAGCCCAGAAGCAGCAGCAGCGGGGCCCTGAGGGCACCCCCGCACACCCAGCCCCGATCACGCTGTCTCTCCCCGTGTTCCCAGAGCTTCTGCCCAGCCCGGCCCCAGGGTGCTTGGGGAAGGGCATATGGGGGTGCCTCCAGGGGCCCAGCCGCTGCCTCCGCACTGCCCAGAGGGGCAGGAGGCCATGGCTGTCAAGGGGCAGAGCTGCCCCTCCACTGGTGCCCACCAGGCAGGGCTTGTTCCCTAAGGGGCAAAGGGGATCTCCTTCCCACCCTGAACTGGGAGGCCGCTGCCTCTCCCCGGGTTCCCAGAGCTCCAGAGTGCTGCTCTTCCAGAGTGCTGGTCTCTACCCACCCGGTTTATTCCTGATGAATGAACAGAAAGATTTAAAATAGGTATGCTTTACTGATTTATGGATATTTACTTTTATATATCTTAACATGTGATTTCATAAACTTTTTAACAGTATACTGTCATTACTAAATTGTCTGCTCTCACACTCCTAATTTTGTGCAATCCCGAAAAAAATTAAATTGATAAAATTGATAAAAATTAAAAGAAAATCTTAAAAATAAACATTGATTTAAGGCATCAAAAATTATTTTTTTTAAATTGAATTCTACTCTGCCTAGTTATATGATAATCCAGAATGAAGAAAACATGCCAGGATTAAATCACAAGCAACCGGTTTCTTCAAAGTTCAAAGACACCAAAAAGAAACATACCTGTTGTGCTGAAAAACCTCAAATCCATAGATGTCGAGCAGCCCTAGGACTGTTGTACTCCTCCATCCTGGGAACTCTGTCTCCTGCAACAAAGCCATAAACCATTCATTCATACCCAGTAGAGCATGCAGCAGCTGTGATCTAGTCTTACAATATAATCCTGCCGTCTGGCTCTCCACACAATCAGTGTGAATGAAATATGGTTAGAAATTCATTGTTCAGCATGGAGATGGTCATTTTCCCTGCTTCCCAGTCATGTGGTTTGAATTCACCATGTCCAACCAGTTTGCTGTACAACCATGCAAAACAATCGTGGGAGTTCAAGTGAGAGATGAATTTACCTTGTAGGAAAGAGACTTGTTAATCTTATTCACTAGCCAAGAGAAGGTGCGCCCATACACTGCTTTGGCTAGAGCATCCCTTGCATAAGCTGCTTGCTCCAGGTTCAGAGGACTGACCAGCTGTATGGGGAAGAAGGAACAACAACTTCATATGGATGGCCTATTGAAAGATGCAGTCTTCTAACTTAGTATGAACAAATTTGTGAGGCAAGGATTTTTTGGGTAATATCTTTTATAAAACCACCTGTATAACTGGGAAAGACATAGACAAGTTTGCAGGTACCCAGTGTCCTTCCTCTTGCACATGCTCTGGACTGTCACAGCTACATCATCACGCCAACTTTATGAATAAACTGGTCACTCTATAGTGACACGGCCCAGACAGGAAACTATCTTCCAGGACTCATTACTAGTCAAAAGCAGGTTACATGAGACCAAGAAATCCACAATGTCTTCTCTTAGCTACAAAGAAGACCGTCTAGTCTACTAACACCCGAGTGTACTTAGTCAGCTTCAGATCTGGAAGTCTCTGAGTTTTCCATCCCTGGTTCTTACCTCTTCCCCTTTGGCTATTATCTTCTTGTGGATCAGCGCTTCCCGAAGGATAGAGCCTTCAACCCCTAGGAGCTAAAAACCAACAAAATGGAAATTCAGTTACACAAGTTCTTATTCATTCACCGTGATCTGATTTAGAGAAACCAGAGACTCAGTCCCATTCAGCTCCATTCATGCCCAGCTCTTCGCTGGCTCCCCATTTACCACTGGCTCCCCATTCGCAGTTTTACCCGCTTTGTCCCCTCAACTCAGTAGCTCAGTGATCTGCCAGTAATGTCAACCTTGGCTGCCTTCTTCCTTACACTCCTTACAGAAGGAAAAGTCTCTCTGATCTGAAGCCCCTTCTCTTATCTAAACCCCCCTCAATACCCATCTCCACTGAGATGTTGAATGGATTATTTCTTTAATCAACAGATTAAGGAGCAGATAGAACAGTTGCTAATTCAGAAATGTTTGAATACAAGTACTGTTTATATTTGACTATAACCCTCTTCGTTTCTTAGCTGTCATCTTAGGGTTCGTCTACACAGGGATAATTCAGGAAAGTTAACCCAAAGTAATCTTTACAGTGGATTAAACTGTTTTAAATACCTGTGTGGACACACTCGTTCAGAATTAAAGTGATACCTATTCAGTAACTTTTTCTTTGTAGTCTTAGACAGTCACCCATAGTAGAAATCCAATAAATACTAGTTGATTCACCATTCAAAAAGGGAGCGCACATATTGGCGAATAATCCAAAGGGACCCATAACTAACTCCGGATAATTGCTAAGGGGACTGGCAGGGAATTAAAACAGTAGTAAATTAAGCCATCCCGGGCACATCTACATGTGCCATTAATGTGCAGCAATAAACTGTGGAGCAATAAGCATGGAGCTCCTGGGAAGCTCCTGGGCGTGTGGTTTACACAAGTGCCTGGACTGCAACACATTCAGCCAGGTTGCAGCAGCCCCGGCTACAGGGAGACCAGGGAGTCAGCCTGCCAGCCCAAGGCTGCTCTGGCCAGGCTCAATGTGCTGCAGAGGGGAGGCCGGGGCATGAGGGTGCCTCAGTGCGGGGCTAGCCAGCAAGCAGCCCTGCAATGAAGCACCCTAGTCAGCTGGGTCAGCATCTACACGTGCACTGCTGCTCATGGAAAAACTCCGCAGCAGGGTAGTACTTGTACTTGCACACAGACGCTGAGCATGTGTAGACACACTCCCACAGTGGTACATTATCCCTTAGGTGAGTTCATTTGAGGTTCCTGTACTATTTAGCAAAGACGATTATCAAGAAGGTAAAATTAGCTGAATAATATATCCAGCAAGCATTTTTTTTGCATTGATTGACATTATACAATTAAAAATACTGCAAAAGTGTTTTATCCCTTATGAACATTGGCAGGCGTTTTTATACTGGCTAAAAGGAGTTGAATATGATCTTCAGGCTCTGGTTTTAATTATTTTAAATAGAAAAAACACATTTTCATTTAATTACGTCCATTTAATAAATGTCAAGCTTTGACAGTTATTGAGTCTTATCCTGGAATAATATAACAGTGCAAATACAGCACTATAGGGAAAACGTCCTAGGGATTGTACTTACTCTGGCCAGATATTTAATCTGATTTTCTGTGGTCACCTGAGCATTGCCCTGTTCATCAGCAGCAAATTGCACGTTCCCCAGGTGCAGCACACTAGCTACAACGCTCAGCAAATCCTAGTACAAAACAGCAGAAACATGGTCATGAAACTGTGAATAAAAAATGAATGAAAGACCATTGTGTATGTGGTATGGGGGAGGTAGGAACGGGGAACTGGGGACCACTAGCTGGCACCCACCAGCTGGAGATATCTGCACAATTAGCTTCGGGGTGTCTGCAGGGCGCACAATCTGAGACTGCTTCCCAGCTGACAGCACAAACCGTGAAGGATAGCCTTGGGGGCAGGGAGAGAATCAGGTGCACTGCAAGACACCTCTTACCTCCACCTCATTGTCATTAAAGTTGATAATGGACAGAGCCTTTCTCACAACCTTCCAGTCATTTTTATCATTGATAGAACTGACCCTTGCACAGTGACCCTAAAACAAAAGATTTTGAGAAAAGTAAGCTTGGATAGTCCAACATATTGTTCCCATATGTTTCCCACAGGCTAGGGGGTTTCAACCTTTTTTAGTAAGCATAACCCCAGCAGCCATGTGCGAGCCGTGTACCGCCACTGTATGAGAGCTTCCCCCACACCGTGTCTGGCCGTACTCCCAGTTGACAACCCCTGACATAGGCCATACAACTCCAACATGTGTTACCTGCCACCTCTCATGCTGGGAAATACATTACAGAATACATTTATCCTACAGGATAGACCGTCAGCAATATTCATCGCTATTAACCTCTCCGATTAGCAAACAGATGCTCCCTCTAGAGAGCATTAAATCAAAGAACTGGCAAAAATGGACCCTGTTCATACCTTCACTAAGTAGGGGTATTGTTGGGGGTTCTTCTCAAGGCCCAGCCTTCGCAAGAGCTCTTCTTCTCCTCCGTCTAAAAGCTGGTAGAAAATATGGAAGTTCCTCTCCCCGTGATTCTGATGGACGACCCGAGACTTCTCCAGTAGGTAGTTCAGGATGTGACCTCCAACAGGGGCTCCCTAAACCAAAGCAGATAAACAGGAATTGTTCACAGGTACAAAGGAAAATCCCCTTGATTCTCTGATGGCAGAATATCAAAGACAGAGGGGTTTGAAAGAATAAGCTACGAAGTACAGAAGTAATTTCTGTCACTTTATACCAAGCTCTCTCAGAATCCAAAAAATACAAGGTGGGCATTTGAACTTTTGAACTTCCTTAGAATATATTAAAGCCAAAATGTTAAATGAAACACAAAAGTAATGCTGTGAAATATATATTATTACAGCTCATGTGCTGCATTTTGTGGTCACTTCTATTTACCCCATCTCAGAAAGAAGACAGCAGAAAAGGTCCAGAGAAGGGCAACAGAACATGGAGGGGTTACTTATCAAGACACTTTAAAAAAAGAGTTTAGACATATATCTATCAGATAGATTCAACTGTGTGACATTTTGGCAATTTAAGGAACAAACAAGAGGTAATGGGATAAAGCTGTATAAAAATAATGCTATGCTAAAGTTAAGGTTGCCTGTGCAAGCTCAACTCTGCCCTCCTGTGCGTGTCTAGGTGTATGATCAGACAACGTCTCCAGCTTAGGACTTCTGTGTCAGTGTATTTAAATATGGGTGTATTTCTAATACTAATAAAGTATTTCTAATATTTATCTAAAGTGCAGATGTTTTCAGTATCAATATAAGCTGAAGCATTCTTTGAACCCTATCACACCTTTTCTACTGATGTCTAGTGGTAGTGCATTCCACTAGTTACTTATACATAAAGAAAATAAAAGTAAAGTCTTTCCTTTTTTCAGCCCCAGAGAGCATTGCGTCAGTTTGCAAAACAAAACTAGGGGCCTAGAATATTTAAATACCCCAAAAGTCTGATTGTGGATTTAAATTGAGTTGATCTGAATTCCTTTTTAAGAGAGCCTGCAGTTCAATGAGTGTTTAACCCAATATACAAACAAAGTCCAAGACTTTTATTTTTTCGAGTTCTAGGAAAAAAACCCAAACCATTTCCCTGTAGCATACAAGATAAAACTGCAATAGCTCTATAACAGAAAGGGCATCACCATTCAAACAAGAGTGATTTGCAAAGCATAAGCACAGAGAGGCAATTACAGTGGTTACTATTCTTTGTTCTTACAAGGTTTTACCTATGGTGCAGGGGTCCATGCAAAGGGATGAAAATGGAACCATTTCCTTGGTTTTTTGGGCCATGGAAAACAGATGCCAATATGAGCAGCACCCTCAGGCACAGAACTGAACTACAAACTGGGACTAGTCTCTCCATACAGAAAAGGCTTTTACCCGGTAATCAAACTGCACGTCCATGTATTTCCCAAATCGGCTGGAGTTATCATTGCGAAGAGTTTTTGCATTTCCAAATGCCTGAAATAAGAAGGCACCGAAAAGAAACAAATAAAGATCCTCAAAAAAGGGAATACCCAAACATAGCACTTTGAAATATTTTTCAAAGGTGTCCATGGCTTATTTGCCAGATTCCCTCTTTTCAATGGGAGTCTAAGGAAAAAGCAGGGAGTTCCTCAAACTGATTTTGAGAGCTGCAGACATACTGTCAGCATCAGGCTGTCACTCTGCTTGGGCCTGCTATCGTGTTTCTCTCCACCAGGAAAGCAGTCTTGTTGAAAAGACTAGTTAGAAATTTTTCCTCCATACCCCATATGACTTGACACAGGGCTGTCCAACTGGCAGCCCCTTACAGGTTAGCATGCAGCCCAGGCCATAGGCTCCCAGCCCACTGCCATTTCCCCTCCTCATCTGCTCCTGCTGCCGCAGCTGAGAAAGGACTGGAATGCCCGAGCTGCCCCTGGGGCAAAGAAGGGAGCCTGCGCACACTGCAGTTAGGCAGTGCGTGCAGCTGGGAGAGAAGGGGGCAGCTGCTACACATATGGCAGGGGAGAATTGAGCCGCCAGTGCTGGGGCAGCCCATGCAACTGGGAGAGGAGGGAGCCAGGCTGCCCATGCTGTAAAAGTGGGGCACACCTACAACCCCCTGAGTTCAGGACCCATGTGGCATGCTGCTCCTGGCTGCCTGGAAGTTGGGACAGCCCTGATCTAACAGAAGCACATTACCCTGTACACAACAGTCACAGGCCCAGGCTTGACAGTCTTCTTCTTCCCAGAAGGCCAACACCCTCCCACACCACACTGTTTTGAACAGGTGGTAGAAACAGTGACAGATAAGGCTGCTACAAACTGGACAACAGAGATCAGTGGTGCATAATATGCACCACTGCTGTTTATCCAGGTGTAAATCAGGGGATGCAGCTGCCCAACATCCATACTGTGTGCATTGAATTACCTCTAGGACTGGGTTGGACTGAAGGAGGCGGTCTTTCACCATCTCAACTTGGTCACTGGCTGGACAGGTCACTGCATAGTACTGCAGGATCTTCTTGGTGGCCTCAGTCTTGCCAGCTCCACTCTCCCCAGATATCAGGATACACTGATCCTTCCTCTCCGTGCGAAGGGAACGGTATGAATTGTCAGCAATAGCATAACTAGGAAACGATCATAAGGGGAAATTAAGCCAGCTTCCAAAAACATAAAGGTCAGAGAACCGCCAGCTAGACACCTGGATTATCCATACAGTCACAAATATAAACGGTAAAAACTCGAGCTCCAGCCAGGGCATTCTTACACTTTGGGCAGGGATAGCTCTTAGAGAATTGAGTGTATCTGGACTCATAACCCCCAACCCAAGACTTCTGATTTTCTGCAGTTCATAAACTCTCTGTGAGGGCATGGACTCTGGCTGTATCTGCCAGGCTGCCACCAATGCACAAATTTTGCTTCTTTGTTGTGTTTCTACCTCCACGATCTGCTGATATGCCAAAGGATGGTAGTATAGACCTAGCAACCAAAGGCTGTAACACAGAGCTGGCGTTGTATTCAGCTACAAACACCTGGGGGGCCACAAGTTAGTTCCTACAAAAGACAACTGGTCTGTCAAGGAGGAAGAGATCACCTTGACTTGAACTCATGTGGCAGAAGGCTATGATCATTTGCTGGTACTGATCAGGAAGTCACCTGACAAAAAGCCTGGAAGATTATAAAAGGCACTGAGCCATTTACCTTTTTGGCCATTTTCACCTGTTTAACCCAAAGGAGAGCTGCCTGAAACAGAAAGCCAATGCAGTATGTGGCAAACTTCTCTGTTTCAGGACAATCTATCCCCCCATCCTTTCTATCCCCAAGCAAACGATAAACCAGAGTAAAGGGACTGTGTTCAGGAAGCCTGGTTTCCAGTCACCTACAATGTCTTCTGCTTTATTCTTTCAAAGTGAAATCAAGTTGCTTTAAAAAAATCCATGCACCATTTGTGTGTGTTTGTTTGCACATGCCATGTGGATCCTGAAGCATTAAGCCATCAGTGAAGGCTAACACCTTCTCTGGGATTCTTGGAAAGCACACACTTAAGCTATGGCACTGGATCTGAAAATCATCACTGGATTCCAAGTACAGGCAATTAGGCCGTGGTTTCCAGAGCTCAGGGGAGGGTGTGCAAGACAGAGAGCCTGCACCTCAACAGCATGCTACCAAAGACCCCAAGATATGGGCAGTACCTGGACTGTTCAGACTGGACACTTAACAGGCCTGGGGATTCCCTCACAGCAATCTGATGGTGGAGCGGCCAAGAAGGGGGACTCGGCCAGATATGGCAGAATCCAGGGAACTAGGATGAGGATTTATCTTTAGATTCAATTGAAAGAAAGGATCATCTGCAAGCAGCAATTTCTACTGCTACTGAAACCACAGCACGCTACCTTTTTTGGCAAGGCACATCCTATTAAACTGACCCCTCACCATCAAAATTTTACTTCTGGACCACTTTCATATCAAAACCATTGAAAAACGATAAAACCAAAATGCAATTTATAAATTTGCCTCTTGGCAGCATCCTCTTCTGTAGGATAATTATCTCCTCAAGTACAAGGGAAGACTGACAGCCTTGCATACTTTATATTTTGTAAAATATCCCATTTATGTAGGGCTGTTTGTTATCCCCACTATCATTCACCATCCTTCCAAAGCCCGTTGTAAGAAGGTCTTCAGGAGGCATCTTCGAACAGGGCCCCGGGCTGCGAATCGCCCTGCTCAGCCAGGTGCTTTTAGACGCATCCTCTTTTTTTTTTGGCCCAACAGAAAAAGTCAGTTACTTTCAAAAATAGCTTCAAGCTGCTGCTTTTTTTAACCCCGCTCCCTGCCCGAAAACCGGGAACATTCATCAGGCCATGTAAATAAATACATTCCTTGTTCTGAAGGGCTTGTGGTATCTTAGCAACAAGGGAAATACCAGATAAATATTGGTCAAGCAGTAACAGAGAAGGTAGGAAAAAAATCATCACACGGATTCCCTTTGCCCAGTTAGCTGTATACTGAATAAACTGCAGAGCAGCAAAGGGAAACTTAGAACCAGAACATCTCGAACAAACAACCCTCAAACCCTGAGGTCTTTAGTCCTGCCTGGGCTGGGGCAGCAGCTCAGATTCCTCTCGGATTCATATCGTGTGGCCAGGAAGGAGCCAACTCATCCTCCTTGGAAGGAAAAGCGAACAGAACGAGCTTGACACCGCACCCTGCAGAGGATTCCCTTTATAGCCACTTACACCAGGGCTGTGTTTGGAGGACAGTAATGCGAGCAATGTTTGTTGGCTTTCCGAATACTGGAATTAAAACATGCCAGGTGGGAATGGCACAAACTGTACCATTTACCCACAGGCCACTTACAGGTGGGGAGACACTTCATAGAAGCTGACGCCACGGTATCGTTCCATGTGTTGTTTGCTATAGATTTCCAACTCCTTGTACGGGTTTACTGACACTAGAACTGAGCCAATGTATGTCTGAAAAAGAGTATGAGGAAGAGAGATTACACAAAAGCTAGCTTCTGCTTCTACAGAAGCCTGACAAATGACTTCAGAATCCCAGACAGGGTTTCAGGCTCCATCTGCAGCAAAAGCACTTGCAATGCTGCTAGCCATAGAAAACGGTGAATACCCTGGGGAAGTAAAGAAGCACTCACAGGTAGTGAATGTGAGAATTCAGGATGCATCACTCAATAGTAAAACTACATTAGTGCTTCTCGCTATCCCTGCATTGCAGTTTGAGCACCAGGTTATTTTTAACCCTCCGTACCATTATTTGTGATTCAGCTTAAGCCTGGGTTTGTTGAAAACCAAAAAAGAATACATTTTCAGTAGTGCTGAGTAATCATACCTCCAACTGAAGTCAGCTGGAGCTGCAGATGTTAAGTACGCCTGAAAATTGGGCTCTACACTCAATACACAACAGCGGGTAAATGGGAGCTGATAGATGCTACCATGTTCAAAACCCGTGCCAGCAACACAAATCACTGCATTTGTCCTTTATTGTACTCACATAGATCAGATTCTCCTTGAATCGTTTACGCAGGTTTTCAATAAAAGCTGCTTCGCTGGTGAAGTTCTCAAGCAGGACAAAATCCTGAACCCCAACACGGTCACGGGCTGTCAAAGCACTCTCCATCGTCATCCGGATACCGTTACTCCCTGCTCCCTGCAACCAAAACCAAAAAGTAAACCAACAGGCTGAGCCTTCCCTGGTATGCAGCCCACCGTACCCACAAAAATCAAAGAGGACTGACTACACAAAGGAACTCTTAGAACAGCAAACTCCCGTCACGTTACACTTGCAGCGGACAGTTTGACAGAAGATGGGTAAGCTCTGGGAGAAAGTTACTGTACTGTTAAAGCTCCAATCAGTAACAAAACAGGGCCAAGTAAACTTCCTAAGGGCCACGTCTACACGAGGCGCTGATGTGTCATGTGGCAGCAACTGAGATGTGACACCGCTGCACAGTAGTCTTGAGCTACTGCGCAGTCAGTGTCATGAAAAAGCCATTTAGCGCCACTACTGCAAAGTAACTCCGGTTTAGTAATGACTGCACAGTCAGTGTCTCGGGTAGACATGGCCAAGGAGAGCAAAACCGACTCCACACTTCCCCAAGGATTGTTTGGGAAGAGTGATTCTGAAAAGCAGTAGAGGTCATTTCTTTCCTTGAAATGCCATGAGGTCTGACCCCTTGAGATAAGCAGACTTCTGGGTCCCAAACAACGATTATTTGTCTCCTAGGTCTGTGTCCTCACACTACAGAGCCCGTTAAGCCACACACGCATTCAGCACGATATCCACTGAGAAAACCCTGAAGTTTAGGGCCCAGGAGAAGGGACTATTAGTGATTCCCAACCTAGTGTGTGCATTCACTTTTCTCTTGCAGCAATTTTATTATTTCCCACATACTGGGGAAGTCAACCTCTTTCAGCAAGTCAGAAGATAAGTTTCCCTCTGACAGTGATGCAGAGAGATAAATAACCCTGCCCTCTGCGTATCAAGTCTTTCCTGTGCAGCCCAGCCAGTCTCATCAAAAGGTAACTGGGACACAGCAGTTTATCTGTATCAGGCAGTTCTTTCTATACTTTCTTCTCTGTTCGTCACTGGATGGGAAATTACTATCTGCAACAGTATGATCAATTTGCTGATTATCGTAACAGCTTCCTTTCACGACTTGGAGAGATAATCAGCTCAAATGCCCTGCTGTACTTCTGATACATCCCATGCTCTTACTTCCATTTTATATAGGGCACATGGTGAGAGAGGATACTCCAATTTGTGCCCTTCTGGAATACGCCATTGGATAGGTCTGAACTTCAGTTTCTTGCTCACCAAGAGATCCTACTGATGCCGCAAATGATTTAGAGAGATGAAGTTCAGCTGAGATTTTCTTCTGGGAAAGAAATCCAGGACTGAGCCCAGTGTAAGAGCCATGCCACTGCTCACCTCTCAAGGAGAAGTTACAAGATTTGGATGTCACGCTCCACATAGCTGAGACACCGCCTTGACCTAGAGTGCCGCCCCCCTCTCTACAGTGTTACCGCAATAGACTAATCAGAGGAGGACAAAGTCCTCATCAAAGCCAGGCATTGCTTTCGATTTCCGCCTGCAGCCCAGATTAAATGAGTATTCCTCTATAAACACAGACTGCACGGGAAAGGGACTTCTTCTGTACCTGTCCACACTCCTAAGCACGACCCAGAACTCCGCTGGCTACCGCTCTGATCACGTTCACAAGCTACTTCCCTCTCCTCGGCAGCATCCCCCTCTACGCTTGGGCAGATACTGCCAGCAGGAGTCGGAGTCGGTTTCTGCTGTATCAGTACCTTGGTGTGGAAAAGCCCACCATGCAGGACCCCGCCCTGACTGCAGCTTGAAGAGCACAAGTCTCATTGATGTAGCAGGACCCCCTTCAGAGAACACCACCCTCACCAGTAAGAAGCCATCTCGTCCGTCAGGATTTCCTGAGAGGTGACATTAAACCAGACTTTCACATGGTTTCTGCTGCAAAACTCTAACCACATTCTTTTTATATACCATTCAGTAAGAGCAGGGAGGGCAAAGCTTTGTTTGCGCAGGCAGTACTAAGTATTCTGAAAGTTCACGCATATAGCAGCTTCATGTTTCCTCCAAATAACCACATCAAAAAGTGCCACAGAGCTCTTTAAAATGGCTAGACTGAACAGACAAGCAAGTTGCATTTTTAGGTTAGATATTTAATAAGACATATGTTCTAGCTGGCATGAGATACAAAGAAGAAAGCTGTTGCACTCACAGTAGGCACTGTTTGCAGAGCAGGGAAAGGCTAGAAAAGGAGAAGAAACATGGTAGAGGCAAGTGCCCTAGGTCTCTTGCCCTATTAAGTCATCACAGAAGAGAAAGAAACATGTAGGGTATAAGAGTGGGTGCATGAGTGTGAGGGGGGTAACTTCTCCTCTCCTGCGCGCCCCCGGGACACAGCACAATTTCACCCCGAACAGATGTGAGAAACCAAGAAGTCAACAATGCAGAAAGTGATTCAAAGCTGAGGAACGGCAGCAGATGACAACCACCGGTCTGTACCCTGCAGAAAACTAGACCCTAGTTCTAGGGCATGCCAATGCGGCAACCTGGCCCATCTGGAACACGGGCACCTACACTCAGAACGGGGTTTTTTTTCTAACTGAAATATGAACATGAATAGCACAGTTGGTGATGTGCTCCTCAAGTCATTTAGTAACAGACTTTGTATTCATAATGCAGCTATCCTGAACATGTGGCTGAGGCTGGCGAAAAAATGAAAAGCCAGCCCGCCCGGACAGGGGATGGGTTGAGGCTTCTGGGACTTGGGCTCATAATTTTAGACTGTGGGATAAGAATGTTAGACTGGTGATTTTACTAAACTGATCAACAGAAGATGTAAAAGAAATATCAAATTTAAACTATGAGTATTATGGTAGTACCTGGTGCTACCAGCTCATGACTGTCAAAGTTTGCATATTTGCTGAATTTCTTAAAGCACCAGCTTGTGAGGGGTCCTCTAACTACAGAAGCCTCCCAATATTCATTAAAAAAAATATAGCCCTGGCTGCCTGACTCAAACATAACCTGAAGTGTTTTAAAAACAAATGCCAACAAAAAGCTTGCTAGGTTTTAATTTTTAGAACCTTACAATTTTAAAGCTAAATCTCATGATTGCCGCAGGTTTGCCCTCAAGTTCTGAGTGCTTCAGTTCTGGAACACGTCTCATCTGGAAAGCCAGCCAAGATCAGAGTTGTGTTGCACTGGGTACCGTACATACCCAGCAAAGGATACATGCACCATAGCCCAGACGTCCTGCTGTCTAACCAAGTGAGCACTGCTAAGATGGTACCTGTTAAAGGAAATGATTTTATGTCCCAAGAACATCCCTTCGTGTTGAAAGCCCTGTTCCCACTTGACAATGCTGGTGAGCTGAGCTGACAACATGGACATTTACACGGAGAGCTCGCCGGGGCAATGACGACATCATCCCGCACATGTACAGACAGCACTTAGCAGACTGGGATCCAACAACGTGGTACAAGAAATATGTACAATAGGGAACAGTTTTATAAAAGACCACTGGGGAACCAAATATATGGAACCCATACGTTTTTCCATCTCTAACACTCATTCACTGATGCTTTGGATTTTTTTTCCATTTCGTTAAATACACTCCATGTAGCCTCTTTCACATCCAGCCACAAGAACACGATCCCGCAAATAGCCAAAGGCTCCTAGCACAGCTCTAGACAGCTTCACTCAAGTAACATGCCAAGATTATTCCAAAACTAAAGGACTATGCTGGCACAGGAACAAATTACTATAAACTGACCATAAATAAATATAGGCAGGAAATTGGAAGAGAATGTTTAACCTTTCCAATGAGATTAGCAGTGGGGAAAAAACAACAAAACCCACCACACAAAGCCTCAAATGCACATTTTCAGATGGGGCTTGACACATTATGAATGGAATTACTGTCTGTGGAAGGACCCAGGCATGGCTTTCTTTTCTTACGTCCTATGTACCTATAGCTCTCAAAATGCCCACACCCGCATACTTAATCCAAATTTACATCATTCTGAAGGGCAAGGATTTCTTAGGGTGATATCTTTTATTGCACCAACTCTGTAGTTGGGATAGAATTAAATAACATGCAAGCCATTCGAAAGCTTGTCTAGCTCTAGCCCAACTACACAGTTGGTCCAAGAAAAGACATCATCCTAAAAAATCCCTGCCTCTGGCCTAATTTCTGGGCCATCGCGGCTACAACAGAACATACATACGCTACCAGAATTCTGAAGACTTTCACAGAAAAAAAGGAAAAGAAAAGAAGAAATACTTCACAGATTCAACAGTTTTCATCAGCCACCCCCTAGAGCTCAGGACACATCGATGCAAACTGAGCATATCCAATCGGAAAGAAAGAGGAATCAGTCCTGCGTAAGAAAGAAGCCTTTTCTTCAGACAAGTCTTCTGAGGCTGGCACTTGCAGATAAGTACCTTCTACCTTCCTCAGTGCATCTCCTACTCTTTCAGTTCCTAGGGTTCTGGCTCATCAGGAACAAAGTGGCTAAGTTCATTTTCAGACTTTATTTTTCTTAATTGAGTTTAGCTTTTAAACAATAAATCAGGTGCAGTTAGATGGCTTCAATTTGCAGCTGAGCACTATATAAATGGGCCCACGGACCTGGTCTAGCTTCCTAAATATATTTACCAGCCCACGTGACACAGCCTAAGCTTAAATTTAGAGCTCTGTGCCTTCCAAGATGTTAAGACAGATTCTAAGCATAACTCAGTGCAAACTGAGTGGGCCAGAAATCTGGAACAATGGCCGAGCAGCTTGTGCTTCTCTGTGCCAGTCTTTGTTGTGCTGGGCTGTTCATTTCCAAATGTAACACTACAGCTACGCAGCATTTCAGCAGATGGGATGCAAAAGTACTGCATCTGGATGAAAACTGGATACTGCTACAGAAAAGGTTGCAGAGGGCAAAAAATGGGGAGAGAGAAAAGGAGAATGCAGAATGAAAAGAATTAAATATCAGAAATTACAGGGATCCTAAAGGGGAATGAGTTTTCCCGCTGAATGATAACAAACGTGACAATATGTTGCTAAATAAAAGATAACTAAAATGTTAGCTACTCTAGTCGGACAGAAAAGG